GGAAGAGAGCTGGGGAGAGAGAGACAAGTCAGTCAGTGTGCCAAGAGTTGGGGTGACGGTGCGTCCTGTCCTCCACCTTCTCACTGGTTGCTCACACCGCCACTATTGTGACGTTACTGCCGTCTTGTACATTTGTAAATACAGATTGAGACAATTTCCAGTTCACGGCTAAAATCCTTGTCTTAATAGTAAAGTGATTCTCAAATTTGTTCTGGAAAATTTCATGTTGTTAATTATACTGAAAATATCATGTTAATTATACTGAAAATATAATATAGTGCCTTGTTCACAAGTGTGTGTGACCTGCAGTGTAGCTAATAGGTTTCAGTTCTCCTTATAGCAAATCATGTTTTAGCGTATACTTTACCTAAGGTCAAAATCTGACACTAAAAATGGTTGCGGCTCACAAAATTGATGCGGTCCCGTTTTCTGTTCGTGGGTCCTTTCGTTAGTTAGGTTTGGGCATTTTAATACAGTACATCAGTTAAGTGACGTTGGAAAAGCCCATGAGCATGGGCTAGTTGATCAACTTCATCTGACCATCAGTATCACAGCTTCATATTTGCCATTGGAAAAATAAGGTGGCAATATGTATCAGTAAAATTTAGTGTATTGGTGGCTTCCCCTACTGCCCTTCACTTATTCCTCAGACACATCCCCTTCCTTATTACACCAATATATCTTCCATCATACATACCTTCCATCATACATACCTTCCATCATACATACCTTCCATCATACATACCCCCCTACCCCATCCATACATTTCCCTTCCCTGCCTGCATCTATGTATCCCCTTCTCTGTAATACTTGAGGACCCCCATCTGATATCATCTCCACCACGTTAACACTAAGAATTGAACAGCATCATAATAGGGGATAATAGGAACTAAAATTTGTCAGAAAATATCCGATATATTTTCTGGTCATATTATTTAAGCTTGCCTCAACTTTTTGGATTTGCTTTTCTTTGAAGAATGTGATTTGTTGTGGAAATTATGTAATTACCTAGTGTAGTTGGATGAGATTGGTGTCTCATCTTCCCAGTACTCTGTCATATAACGCTTTGAAACTACTGACAGTTTTGGCCTCCACTACCTTCTCACTTGTGTGTTCGTGTGTGCTGGTGAGGTTTGACCCACAAGCATGAAGACAGAAGGAAACATAATGGGACTTCAAGACCTCTCCAGTAGAATTGGATGTAAACAATGAGCCTCACATGAAGGAAGAGTGATTTGCTTTGTGATATCTTGAGCACTACATATGAGGCATAACATTCTTGGAAACACAGAATTTACTTTGCTCTTTAGCCCCCTGTAAAGGCAATTTCATTTCGTGAGGACACTATGGGCGACGACTTCCCCCCACGCTACAAGACCTTCTGTTCTTACACTGTGGGTGGTGGGCCTGTCAGTTCCCACCCACAGCCCCTTATCATGCCCCCATTCCCTGAAAAGGTCACTGCCTCACACTCTTGTCCTCCCATATATACCCATCATCCCCACAATGTGGGTCAGACTCATCCACAACTCTCCCCACACTTCCATCCCCACTCCAACCCCCACCATCGTGGACCTCCATGCCTTGCAGCTCCTGATAATCAAGGTGGGCCCCTATATTATTACCTAAGTGTTATTACTTTTATGTAGTTAGAGGATGAATGCTATTCTCGTGTTATAGTATCCTGTCTTCCCTATAATTTTGATACATGACATTTTCAAACTTCCAATAGCTTTGGCATCCACTTTCCTCTCATTTAAATTATTTCAACTCTCCAGAACTCTGTTCACAAAAGATAATTTTCATGCATTTTTTGGCACCTTTGTGTATGTGTGTGTAATTATCTAATAATTTCCTAAGTATAGTTCCAAGATGAGAGGTGTCCCATCTTCCCAGCACTCTTTGTCATATAACACTTTGAAACAACTGACCGTTTAGGCCTCCACCACCTTCTCACTTAACTTGTTCCAACCGTCTACCACTTTGTGTTCGCAAAAGAAAACTTTCTAACATTTTTTGGCACTTTGTTTCATTAGCTTGAATATGTGACCTCATATTCTTGAAATTGCCAGTTTCAGGAATTCCTCTTTATCAGTTTGGTCCGTTCCTGTTATAATTTTGTAAGTGGTGATTATTCACCTCTTTTTCTTATGTCTTCTAGTTTTGGAATATTTATCACCACTAGCATCTCTTCATAACTCTTTGTTTTTCAGTCTAGAAGCCATTTTGAAGCATGCCTTTGCACCTTTTCCAAATTATTGATGTGCTTCTTAAGATAAGGACACCATAAACTACTGCATATTCCAATTTTGGTCTCACAAAAGTCATGAAGAAGTTCTTTAGTATTTCGCCATCTACATGTATGTAATTAAAAGCGATAGCGAAGTTGGAAAATGTAGCATATGCTCGTCACACAACGTTAGGGTGAGGAGCTAGGGTGTGAACACATAAATGTCCTTTATGTGTTCCTCTTGTGACAGTCTATTATCCAGAACCACCCTGGATCTCTTTCATTGTTAAGAGTTCTTTAGTTCCATTCCATTAATTTGTAGGTTTGTGTGTGTGATCTAGTTACTCTTATTACACATTCTATGTCATTTATTCACACAGAATGCCATTTGCCACATAATGCTTCAAGCACTTACTTGATCTAATGTATGTGTGTTCTTACCTAATATTAATAGAAATTACAGGACAGCTTCAGCTCCTGGGCTCCACCTTTCCAACTGTCAGTTGTCTAATGTAAAGCTTCCTGACCCCTTTGTTTCTTATACTCTATATTTATCTTATAAAAAATTTGGGTGGCATTAGCCTCTGCTAAAATCCCTTTCAGTTTTTTCCACTCGTATTCTGTATGGCTCAAGTGTATGTCTAGCCATCATACATATCCTCCCGTTATGGTGCAGTTCAACTTAAGTTTTCTCTCTTATTAGGCATTCTCCGTAGATATACCTTAGTGTTTGGTCATATTTTTGTTATTCTTATTTTTTCTAGCAGGTTCCGTTCACTTTCTGAAACATGCTTCATTGTAATACAGTACTTAAAACTTAAAGAAGTTTACTTGGATCAAAATACCTGCCTACTGTTCAAACTGAGCAATCTCACCCATAACATTTTTCTTTTCCCCCTTGTGTTATCATGAAAATGACTCGTCGCATTTACTTGAAAATTAAAACACTTATATCTGGTTATAAAATTCAATATCAACTTTGGTGTTTATATTAGTCTTAGTGTCTTCGGGAGGAGAGATCTGAACTTAGCATGTACAAGCCCGCAGACTCCTGTCACCACTGAGGAAAACATTCCTTAAGAGGATTTCCCTTCCACCTCCACCTCCTCCACCACTGCCACCACATATACCTCCTCCACCTCTCCACAACTACCTCCACTATGTCCACCTCCTCTACTACCACCACCACGGTTGCCACCTCCACCACCTCCACCACCTACACCACCACCTCCACCTCCATCTCTTCTGTCACTACCTCCACCAGCTGTATAGGGTGGGAACTATCAGGAGAAAGCACCAAGCCATTATGACTACAGTATATAGCATTTGGAAGTGCTATATAGCTGAATATCAAATACAGTAAATATATATGGAAATAAACAGATTTAAACTATACAGTATTTCATACAGATAAACATATTTAGACAAGGAGAGGGAGTAGCAATATATGTTCGGGAAAATTTAAAATGTAGTATCAATGAGGGGAATCAAAACTGACCTACACAAAAACTATTTGGTTAGAATTCAACAAAAAAGTTCAAAATCTTATAATAGGAGCTACATACAGGTCACCAAACTTAGACAGACTGGAAGCAAAGCATCTCTGGAATGAAAAGTGTAGAGCATCTAGGTCAAACAGTATTTGTGTCATGGATGACTCTAATTTTAGTCGAATAAACTCGTTTAATGAAATGGAACTCCAAAGCAGAAGAATTGTTTAGAATTAGTAGATGATTGGGTATTGGGGGTGGTATTTTTAAATAGGATTAGGGCATGATTATACCAAAGGAGACATAGTATAAATGGAGTTAAGTTAGAGTGAGAAAATGTTGTAAGCAGAGTGCCCCAAGGCTCTATCTGGGACCTCTGTTATTTATAATATACTGTATACCAGTATGTATATATTTGATTTAAATTCAGGTATGAGCAGCAATATTTACAAATTTGCCAAGAACATGAAAATGGGAGAAGATATAAACATGGAAGAAGACTCACAATTACTTCAAGGATAAGTTTAAATTGCATTAGTTTAGACTTAGGAAAGAGCTGGGTAAATACTTGTTTAGTAACAGCGTTGTCAGTTTGTGGAAGCAATTACCAGGTAACATAATAGACGTAGGATCCCTTGATTGTTTCAAGCGTAGGTTAGACATATATATGTATATATGAGTGAGTTTGGGTGGATATAAATAGGAGTTGCCTCGTATGGGCCAATAGGCCTTCTGTAGTTACCTTCATTCTTATGTTATGTTCTTATATTGGTCCAGGATGGACCAAAATGTTGTTTCATCATCTTCTGATTTGTGGTTTATCAGCCACATTATTGTGACTCGTCAGCTGCACGAAACTGAGGAAGTTTAATTTACATTCTCTAGAAAGGCGAAGAATTACGGATGACATGACCAAAGTGTATAAGTGGATGAATGGATAAAACAGAGGATATTAATGAGGTATTAAACTAAAGCTAGAATACAAAGCAATGTATATAGATTTGATAAGTCTAGATTTAGGAAAGACCTTGGTAAATACTGGTTTGGAAACAAGGTTGTTGATTGTTTAACAGATTACTGAGCAATGTAATAATGTGTTTCTGGTTTCACTTGACTGTTTCAAGCTTAGGTTAGATATATGTATGATGAATTTGGTTGTATATAAAGTGGATCTCCCTCATATGCACCAGTAGACCTTCTGCAATTTCCTTAATTCTTTTTCTTATGTTTGTATTCTCATGAGTATGATGTAAGTTGCATTCATGGGTTTTACTCCTCAGGTGAGTACCGTGTGGGCATCAAGTTCAATGACAAGCACATCCCCGACTCCCCCTACAAGGTATACATCACACCGTCCATGGGCGAGGCCCGCAAAGTGGAGGTTGCTCAGTTCCCCGATCAGGGCTCCAAGCCAAACAAGCCACAGTCTCTCCTTGTCAGCAAGAATGGTGCCCAAGGCCATCTAGATTGTAAGGTGAGAAAGAAGGCTTCTGTTATGGTTCCTTTTCCATAGAGGCATGTAACACGGCCTTATATGTTGTAGTTGATGGCAAAGTCAGCATGAAAATTTCATCACATGAAATTGTGGAAATAATTAGCCATTAAATTTCTTGGATTTCTTCAATATGTTTGAACTCTTTCATTGCTATGAACATTCATGATTCTTTTCAATTTGTTAACTCTATATGAGTGATGCATGTAATATACTTTCTTATGGTCACTAATTTCTTTGTATAATAGTATATCTTCAATGATGTGGCACTCATTCCCAATACAGTAAGATAAGGTATCAGGCCTTCTGCCACTTGACCTCTCTATCTTTAGTTGTAAACAGAATAACAAAGTAGTTAAATGTCATTTTAAAACCATATACTGTACTAGTACTATGAATTAAAATGACATGACAGTGAAGTCTGCAGTTGCATTAACTATGGATGTTGTTGTTGTTTTAGATTCAGCTACTCGGAACAAAAGTTCCAAGTAGCACGGGCTATGGTGAGCCCGTAGTGGACTTTAACTATTGAAATATTAACCATGAAATGTTGGTGGCCAAAGTTAAGACACTGTCAAAGAGATTGACAACCTCCATGGTAATGGTCAGGGAGGTAGTTATCACACCTCATTTAAGAGGAGTTTTACCAGTACAGTACAGTATTATACTTGTGTGTCCACCTTCCTCTCAAGTACAGTACAGTATTATACTTGTGTGTCCACCTTCCTCTCAAGTACAGTACAGTATTATACTTGTGTGTCCACCTTCCTCTCAAGTACAGTACAGTATTATACTTGTGTGTCCACCTTCCTCTCAAGTACAGTACAGTATTATACTTGTGTGTCCACCTTCCTCTCAAGTACAGTACAGTATTATACTTGTGTGTCCACCTTCCTCTCATGTACAGTACAGTATTATACCCACCTTCCTCTCATGTACAGTACAGTATTATACTTGTGTGTCCACCTTCCTCTCATGTACAGTACAGTATTATACTTGTGTGTCCACCTTCCTCTCATGTACAGTACAGTATTATACTTGTGTGTCCACCTTCCTCTCAAGTACAGTACAGTATTATACTTGTGTGTCCACCTTCCTCTCATGTACAGTACAGTATTATACTTGTGTGTCCACCTTCCTCTCATGTACAGTACAGTATTATACTTGTGTGTCCACCTTCCTCTCAAGTACAGTACAGTATTATACTTGTGTGTCCACCTTCCTCTCATGTACAGTACAGTATTATACTTGTGTGTCCACCTTCCTCTCATGTACAGTACAGTATTATACTTGTGTGTCCACCTTCCTCTCAAGTACAGTACATTGTGTGCCCACCTTCCTCTCATGTACAGTACTCAAGTACAGTATTATACTTGTGTGTCCACCTTCCTCTCATGTACAGTACAGTATTATACTTGTGTGTCCACCTTCCTCTCATGTACAGTACAGTATTATACTTGTGTGTCCACCTTCCTCTCAAGTACAGTACACACTATAATCTTGGGTCAGGTCACCTGCTGACACAAGAGTAGTACACATTGTTATTTAAACACTTATGAATATGTCCTTAAAGCTCATAACCATAATATTCCCTATAAATTACCAAGGTCACATGATAATTATCGGAAGTCTCCCTCTCTGTTTATGACGGCCCAGTCTAAACATGTCGATCCCTCACTGCTTCAAGAGCAAGTATGACAGAGCATCACAGTGTGTGTGAAAGCACATGGTATATTAGCTGCCAGACCTCCCACAGTCATAACAATTCCTGGAGAAGTGATGGAATAAATTTGCCATAGAAAGTCATGGAAAATTATAAAAATTATTTTTGTTGATACAGTGCTCTAGTTTGAATAAGGAATAAAATTCTGCTTTAAATTTTTTTATATAGTATTCTTTATTAGTTAAAGAAAATTTTGTTTTAAGCTATATATATAAGCTTAAAACAAGATATTTAGGGCTTCTATCCCTCTGACTAGTGCTCTTGCATTTTGGTTTAATTGGAAGAAGATTTCTCCAAATGTCATCTTTGTTCAAGGTTGACTAAAAGACTACAAATTATCTATAGAATGTATTACACTTATTATAATATGTGACATTATAATAAGTGTAATACATTCTACATATAATTGTTTTTCTTTTAGTCAATCTGAAACAAATATGACATTTGGAGAAATCCTCTTCCGCTTAAAACAAGAGAACTAGTCAGACGGATAGAAGCTCTAAACAAGAAAATAATCAACACAGAATATACAGTCATATACATATTTATACATTTTTTGCAGACTGTGGCTCCATCAGGTCAAGAGGAGGATTGCTTCACAGATCTCCTCGACAATGATACTTACAGTGTGCGCTTTGTGCCAAAGGAAATTGGTATCCACTTCATCCATGTCAAGTTCAATGGTATCCACATACCTGGCTCACCATTCAGACTACGCATTGGCAAGGATGAAGCTGACCCAGCAGCAGTCTCTGCCAGTGGCAAGGGTCTTGAGTCTGCTATTTCTGGTAAGTCTCAAGATACCTCTGCATGTGTCTGATAAATGATAGGAAATTTAAATATTTTTTGGTTTGCTTTTTTTTTAATTTTGAATTGCCTTCAGAGTACATGTAGTATTTACAAATTGGCAACTGGTAATTGATAGACTTACAGTAATTTTCTGTGTAATTTTCTTTATGTAATTGTCCTCAGATAGATGCTCAGCTTTACCACTAAATTATTAGACTTTGAGTGTACTGTCCATGCAAAGCCCCTCTCTGAGCAGACTTACTGGGTTGTCTCCTAAGGAACCATTCTAGTGTACATGGGGAAGTAATAATACTGTGAGGCAGGTCATCTTTCTAGGTGCCGCCAGCACCATAGGTAACCAGGGGATTATATCACATCTTGCTAAAGTATGCTGTGGAACGCTCACAATTTATACTTTTGGCTACAGCATCTTCTCTAATTAATTTGTTTAAATTTTCTATATTCAGATCAATAAATAACTAAATATATGACTTTCAGCTCAGAAAACAGACTTCATCGTTGATACGTGCAACGCCGGTGCGGGCACGCTAGCAGTGACAATAGATGGTCCATCAAAGGTGTCTATGGACTGTACAGAGGTGGAGGAAGGATACAAGGTCCGCTATACCCCACTTGTGCCGGGAGATTATTATATTGCTGTCAAATACAATGGCTACCATATAGCAGGATCTCCTTGGAAGGTAAATGCAGCATTTCAGAAATTTCCAGTTTTTTCTCCACAGTACATTAGACATTGAGTGTACAAACCTTTACCTCATGAAATTGCAATATTTGTATTTTGTATTAATAAAACCAATTTTATATAAGTATATAGTAATTATCATGCACCTCCCTCTGCACCATGCTACACCCTGCCCCTCACTCTGTGCCTGCCTCATCCTGTGCTTAGCCTCACACCTCTCCAACACCTAACAGACTCCGACGGGCCACCACGACCCGGGTAAGGTGTGTGAACACGCGAGGTGCCAGGTTCAACCCGAAAGGGAGTCAACGAAAGCGGTAACTCTGATGCCCCACAACGAAACTGAGCCAGCCCCTGAACCCCGGATGAATCAAGCTGTGCCAATACGTGTCCTTGAGGTCCAGGATCACCATCCGAGTGCCTGGCGCCAACAGAAGCCGGACCTGGAGCAGAGTGGTCATCCGAAAGGAGGGCGCAAGAAACCCAGGGGTTCAGACTAGACAAGTCTAGAATGAACCACACGTCCGCACAGTCTCGTTTCGGCACTGGAAACAGGCGGGAAACTCACCTGAGAGACATCATTTCGACCACACCCAAGTGCACCCACTCTAAGATGACCTGATAGTGCAGGGGGAAGAGGACTGCCCTGCTAGCCCCAAACCCCCCGAAGGAAGAGGAGCCACCCAACACCTCTACAGGCCCCTATAAACGACCCGAAAAGCCCACGAATCGTGAGACCAGGTGTAAGCGAACAGAGCAAATCTTTCCCCCCATCGCCTCATCAATGGGGTGAACCACAAAAGAGCCAACGCCCTTTGTGAGAACCTGACCTGCACACAGAGCAAGCATTGTGCCAACTAGGTGCAGCCGGGACTGAAGGCAGCGCCGGCTCCGAAACTGGCATCTGTGGCCTATCCAGACGAGCGGAACTGCGAGTCCTGGCACGACTCCTCCAGCCTGGAACCCACGTGGGACTCCCGGAGAACCAACAAGTCCGACATCGTACAGCAACTGGAAGAAACCACCCGCATGTACTGCTCGACCACAGAGGCCGCAAACAATAAAGGAAAACAGGGCGAAGACAACCTAAGAGCCAGGGTCCAAGCGGATTCCAAGGAGGAAGCAAGAATCACCTGCCAACGAGCGAGACGTGCTGCGAAAAACCACGATAGCGCATCCTGCAGGACGAGCGCAAACAGCTTCTAAAGCGCAGATGACGCACAAGCAGCCGAGACCAAGGCGCCAGACTCGGGAACGACCTTAAGCACCTCCACATCCTCCTCAAGCCAATCCGAAGACAGCTCCAGGAGGGAAAGAAACGCAGGACCGAAGCCAACACGCCACAAGCGCAGCCGACAGGGAAGGAATCTGCATGTGAAGCTGAATCGCGCCAACATACCACAGAAGGGCAGGAGTGAAAAGGCACTCATTAAGGTGCACAAAATCACCCTCCAGGTAAACCTGGACCACAGTAGATGCCTCGCGCCACTCAAGCATGCTGGTACAACAGAAGGTTTCCCAAGCATCTAGCGAGAACAAATGGCAGTCTGCAAGCCAGGACGAACCCGGAACCTCATAACAAACCCAGTATGGAGACGAAGATCCAAACCTGAAAGAAGACGGATCCATTATAGAGGCATACTCTGGGTCACGCAGGAGGTAAGCTACAATAGCTGCCCACACCTCGGTAGACGAGAAGCGGGAAGCCAAAAACCTCTGGAAAGACGGAACCGAAAGACCCACAGGGACACAGAACCAAACCTAGGGATGAGTCGAACCCAAATCCAACTCGTACGCAGAGGGGGGAAAGGAAAACCCCACTCCTTGTAACAGTAAGCCCCGCTTGGAGGGCCGGAAAATCCAGGCGGGGTCCAACGGGGCCCAAGGCCCCCAAGCCAGCTCCTCCCCAACCCCAGGAACCTCCACATCAGACCCCGGGGACGAGTCATCCTCCAAAGTCCCAGCCTCACAAGAAAAGGCCGGGGAGGCCGAAAGAGTAGGAGAGAATGGGCCCACTGGTCAGATCCTGGAGCTATGGCTGGAGGAACAGACTCGAATGCCCCCCACCCCCCAGAAGGGGCATCCCCCGAAACCGCCCGAGTCTCAGAAACCTCTAAACTCTGCCCCGACCCCGAAACCCTCAGACGCCAAGAAGCTGGAAGCAGGGTGGGGGTAGGGGGGACTGAATGAACCACAGTAGGGGAATAACGAGGGGGTGCAGACAGAACCAAGGCCGAAGTGACCAACACCCCCAAGTCCGGGTCCCTATAAGCAAAACAGGGCAGCCTCGGGGTATCCGGGGAAGCAACCAACCTAGCACGTTGCAACAACCTAAACCTACCCGGCAACATGCGAGCCGCCTGCACCTGAACAATGTCATCATCAGATTGGGTGAAATGAGTCACAAACAAGCAAAAAAAACTTGCAGAACTCAGGTTCGAATATGTCACCAACCCAACAGGTAGCATGACGGAGGCAAAAACAATGAGCGTTGCCCTGAGACAAGGGGGACAGAGCAACCCTCAAACTCGCACACGGTGAGAGGAGACTCAGGGGTCGCATCCATCGGACCCGAGCGCCCATGTGGGGTTTCCCAGTTTCTCTAGACTGGGTCTGCTAAGGGTTATCCCAGGCAGGGTACTGCTAACCGGCACCCAAGCTACCAAACAACACTGCTAAAGCTGAACCCCTGGGACGTGTCCACTCATGAGGGCGAAGCAAGGGGTACCACCAAACAAAAAGCAACCCTGATATACAGGAAGGAGTAACACCGAGGCAGACCCCCCCCCCCCCCCCCCACCCACCAGGCAAAAAACAAAAAGAAAAAAATCTCGCAAGAAGACAGTGTACCCAAAGGGAACAGAGCTGGCTGCTGTTATAGGTGAAAACTAGCTGCGCAGTATCCCGTGCCCCTACCAGTGCATAAACTACCACTTACCCCAAGGCAAATAAGGGTGGAAATCCCCAAAACTCTTGGGGCATTCATTCGCCAAGCAGTAAAAGACCAACAGAGGTAGACCCAAGGTGACTTGTGGAAGAGAACCCCAAGCCCCAAGGGCGGTACTTACAGGGCACTCAGGGAAAGTAACCCTAAGCACATGCAGCCCAAGTACCTTGGAATATTACTCCCAGCTCGCACACCACTGCAACAACAGCACTGAAACAAGCACAGCACAGCACAAGTGTCTGGAGTTGGAGCCACACGACTGTGCCGTATCCCATCAGCCGAAGAACTGAGGTGTGGATCGCCGGCGCGGGGATCTGGGGCTGCCCCTTCCCCTTCTCGGAGAGAGGGGAGCTGCTCAGACAAGCGGCGCGTGTAACATCATGCTCGTTTGTTCGTTTTTCACTTGTGGAGTTTTGTCCACTTGTTTGTCTATTTTAGTCGTTTTCACCAGAATAGGGGGTTTGTTTTAGGGCACTTATGTTTCATAAGCACTGCCTAATGCATTTCATTTGTTAACTACCCTCACACTGAAAAAATTATTTCTAATGTCTCTGTCGCTCATTCGCGTACTAAATATCCACCTGTGTCCCCTTGTTCGTGTTCCACCAATGCTAAATAGTTGTTTTTGTCCACCCCTGTCAATTCCTCTGAGAATTTTGAAAGTGGTGATCATGTCTTCCCTAACTCTTCTGTCTTCCAGGTACGTGAGATTTATGTATCACAGTTGAACTAATAAGAATATGATATGCTTAATTACAGGTAAAATGTACTGGTGAACCACATGCAGAGAAGGGAACAATCCAGGAGTCCTCGTCTGTGGTAGTAGAGACAGTAGAAAAGACCAAGTCAGGTGCCCTGACACACCAGGGCCCTGTCATCCCAAGGTAAGACAAGCTGTACAGTTTGGCTACACATTACATATGGTAATCACACTGTGTATCTCCTTCACTGTTATGGCATAACACGGCTGAGGATTAGTTTTTGTTTAACGTACAAGTCTTGGAAAAGTCTTAATTCATTACCCAGCTTTGTGTGTGTAAAATTCCTCAACAATTAAGAAAGAATATGTTAGTGTATTGGTTTATCTTGTGTCTCATGTTTTGTCTATGCCTTAAGATATTTTATCTTTTCCATCTGGTTAGTTACAGAAAAGATATAGAGTAAAAACATGTCTTAGGTCCTCCCTGTGCAGTTTAAATGTGAGTGATAAGAATGAGTGTAAGTTGTGTTGTGACTAATAGGAATGTTCTTGTCAGGTTCCAGTCAGATGCCACTAAGGTAACAAGCAAGGGTCTAGGCCTGAAGAAGGCTCACATCAACCGCCAGAACAACTTCACTGTCAATGCCTCCACTGCTGGTTAGCTCATCAAAATTCCTTAGTGTTTTTTCTTTTATATTTTGTATTTAAAATGAACTTTAGGATGTCTAAGCAAATATTTAATAATTATTTCATTATTATAATTGGTTAGAAGTACTGTGACATTCATTTTTTTTTTTAAGAAAAATCTGGATGTTAAATTATTTATTTATTTATTTAATTTGTAACAAACATGGTGGTCTCTTAGGTACGAACATCCTGTATGTGGGTGTTTATGGTCCTAAGGCACCATGCGAGGAGGTCTACATTAAACACATTGGACACAACAATTACCAGGTAAGATAAAGCATAATTAAAGTTTTGTGCAAGTTCAATACATTATTCCATTCTAAATTCCTAATATGTCTAAGTTCACATAGAATATTTTACATTTTTAGATTAAAATTGAAGCTGTTTAGTATCATGAGTTGTTTAATGAATATAATGTTGTACTGCCTTGACATGAGTCTTTATAAAAGGCTATAGAAAAATAATGAGCCTGTTTCTAAATTAATCACATTTAGAAACAGGTTCATTATTTATATGTAATATTTAAACTTCCCTGTGATTTTTATTTTTAAAAATTATAAGGGAATCTTCATCATTTTTTGTTTTAAAAGTCTTTTTGTTACTTGTAGGAAACATATTTTGTAGCTTGATAATGAGAGACCTTTTTAGTATAACAAGTTGAGAAGACCACATGATATATGTATGCCAGATATGTTGAGAAGACTACATGATATATGTATGCCAGATATGTTGAGATGACCACATGATATATGTATGCCAGATGTGTTGAGAAGACCACATGATATATGTATGCCAGATATGTTGACATGACCACATGATATATGTATGCCAGATATGTTGAGATGACCACATGATATATGTATGCCAGATATGTTGAGATGACCACATGATATATGTATGCCAGATGTGTTGAGAAGACCACATGATATATGTATGCCAGATATGTTGAGATGACCACATGATATATGTATGCCAGATATGTTGAGATGACCACATGATATATGTATGCCAGATGTGTTGAGATGACCACATGATATATGCATGCCAGATATGTTGAGATGACCGCATGATATATGTATGCCAGATGTGTTGCGGCATTCCTCAGTCACAGTGCTGGGTTTTATATGTGTAATGCTGATGATTATTAGTAAAGTTAATTTTATTCGGGAAAGTACATACATAGTTGATTTACAAACATAATGTTGGATTTATAGATCCATGTGTTGAGATTTACTTGCGAGTTTTACTTGCGACTTGTGAGTCTTTACTCGTACTTGCGAGTTTACTTGCAAGTGTGACATTTAACTTAACAGTTATCTCACTCACAAGTAACAATTAGGAGCATTAGACATAACAACTGAGCCCTATCAGGAATGCCCATAATAAAATGTGTACTGTAAGGACATCAGGGAAAAAAAAGTGAGATTGTATGAACATAGTTTGTCAAATTTATGACAGGTTGGTGAATGACGGATTGTTTAGTGATTGTGCTGAACTTGGTATAATTTGAGGATATCAATAGTCAAGGTATTACTATAATATTTGTTTAGTCAAATATTTTTTGAATAAACCAATATTGTTTGTTTACTTAGTGTCATTATTTTCTACTATTTATAATTTCTTTATAGTTTTATGCACTTGTTACAACCCATATACTGTAGATGGAGTAAAGCTGACATGCAATATTTACAAAATACCAAATATTATTTTGTTATTGTTAATGTTGTTATATTATTATTAAGTTAAAAAATATAATTTAAAATTCTTTTAACTCTTCTAACATTTCATGAGGGTTATAATGTAATAAAGACGTAGAACAGTTAAGAACAAGCTACCTACAAATCTTTCCGACACAGGTCAGTTACAAGATCAAAGATCGTGGAGACCACCTCATATTAGTAATGTGGGGGGAGAGCCACATTCCGGGTTCCCCCTTTGCCATCACAATGTTCTAATATCGGCCCACAGAGAACCTCTGAACAGTTGTATGTTAAGTCTGAGGTTTCATCCCTTTGCCTGCAATGATATATCAACTCCTCAGATTTCATTCTTCCAGCCCATAAAAGTTTACCCATTTTGTCACCCCTTCCCTCAGAGAATCTAGTTAAAAAGTGTTGTTTTTATTTGTCCCTTTGCCTAGCCTGATGCCTTACCTATTGCCCTTAAGTGTGACAGCTAGGGATACTTTTACCCATAAGTGTCACATTTATGTGCCTACTTGAAACGATTTCCTCCAGGTTTGATTGATTTGTAAACAGTACAGTGTTTTAACTTCTCCCACTCTTTAACTAACTTTTAGTATTATCAAAATTTGCCCCAGTGGTGGTGGTGACTTTAGGAGTCAAGAATTTCTGTTATATTTTTCCAAATCCAGGTTGGTTACAAGGTACACGACAAGGGAGATTACATCCTCATTATCAAATGGGGAGAGGACCACATTCCTGGCTCTCCCTTCGCCGTCAACGTATAAGATATTTCTCTCTCTAAGACAAACTAAAGTGATAGGTTTGCCATGCCTTTCTTGTTGTTATGGATTGTATTGCCAAGCCTCCCTCAAACTCTTTCCCCTTCCCTCCCTCCCTTCCCCGTAGTTTGCTTATTACGGAATGCATATTTTGAAGAGTTGTGTCGTTGGTGTTTATAGCATGCTCGCTTGGAACCAGGCAACTTTGTGCCAAATCAACAGGTGTGACATTTTTCTGTATAGTATAGGATATAAGTCATTATGTCATTTATACACTCAGGTACATTATATAAAATGTTTTTACGGAAGAGTTCAAGAAGACTCCACTTGCTGACTAAATGTGAATAGACAATTGATTTAAACATATTTTAGAGATTGAATGTGTTTTCACAAGCTCAATGGTTTATCTCAATGAAGGATGACCTGTAAAATGCTTAGTACATATACCTTTGGTCATGCCTCGGTACATGACACAATGTTGTGCGTGTGTCACATCCGGTGTCTTGCAGACCAATGACAAATTTCTAATATATCTCAGTAATTTGACATATTCCCAGATCAAGATATGATTTTTTGAAGCATCACACAACGTCAATAGCATACATATTAATACTGTATATTTTGTTACCAGTTATTGCTGAAGGTATAGGGCACCAACTATGCTTCAATTTTATCAATTTTATTTTAGTCTTTTTCTAGAAAAAAATATAAATATATATATTTTTTTGTGCCAAATGGGAATTTTTTGTGCTGTAGTTATATGGGAGCTTTTTTTTTTTTTTTTTTTTTTTTTTTTTTTTTTTTTTTTTTTTTTTGGTCAGTGTTAGATATATTAGTGACGCTGCTGGAGTGCTATATTAGTATTTCATAGTTTACATGTGTGGATTATTTGGTATTTTTTAGTATGGAAAGTTATTAAACCGAGTGTAAATAAATAAAAAAATAATTTCAGTTAGAAATTTCATCTTACAAACACTAATTACTAGAATAAATCATGGTCTAGTTATGATGACTTACCGGGCTCGGTATAAACCTGTGTACTATTAGGCTACCTGAGCTCTTCTTACCACATGTATCATTTATAGAAGTAGCATTTTTGATTAATATAAAGAAAACATACAGTGTGGGTAGAATTGAATTAAATTTGATCTATGTTGACCACAGATATAAAGTAAGGGAATTCCACCCACACTGTACAGTATGAGTTTTCTTGCATGGGTTGCCAGATGATGATTGGATTTCCTACCCCTCCCTCCCCCTCCCCTTAATACTGAGGTGCCCCATGAGCTAATATATTTTTGTGGGCATGATTTCTTTTCTTGCATTGATGAGTTTCTTTAAACCAATAATGGAAAGTAACACACTTTTTCTGAATTGTCAATGTCGGTAAAATTCTCTCCAAAGAGAAAGGCACTAAATTGACACACAATCATTTTAGGCTTTACATGCTGCACTATGAAGTGGAAACTGAGTGTGGTTTAGCACAAGAGAATACATTACTAGCCAGGAGTGGCATGTGTAGCTGAAGGAAGTTATATGTGATGACTGTACACAAGCCTTGTAGAGGGAAGTCCAAACACTGCCAATATATTGTCATCAAGTTAATGCAGCTCAACAAAATTTCCTAATTTAAGGATTTAAAATTATCGACTTACTTTTAACATGTGGAAATCATACATACAAGAGAGACATGTGTCAGGCAGTTACATGTCTTTTACTTCATATTTAAAGTGATTTAATTGTGCATTTAGTGTCAGTATGTCATATAAAATTAGCATGGCATCTACACTTGGTATATATTGCCTATATTAAAACTTACATGAGGGTGACAACATAATGCAAGGTGGAAAAAAAATAACGATTATTTTTTATTACAAAAAAAAATATTTAGATTGTAAATAATTTAAAATCTGCTTTTCATGATCTGCTTCTGTGATGTATGGAAATCTTAAGTTTTGGTTTGTTTCTTATCAACATTATGACATGGGCAATAGTCAAGATTTTGTTCTAATTACAGTTTATCATCAGTATCACTACAACTTTATTATCATAGTATCCCAATACAGTAGAACTCTTGATGCCTCTTCTCTCAGTGTGCAGTGCTTGAGCTTGACCACTGTAACACTGTACGAATGAACTTTTGAAACACTTGCAATCTTTTTTTGATAACCTAAACTATTGTTCAGATTGGACTGACATAATCATAAGGAGAAGTTTTCTATAATACATTTTTCCTCCCAAGTCTAACATATTGTTGACCTTACAGATTGGTTATGTTGTTCGTGACAAAGGAGACTACTTACTGATTGTCAAATGGGGTGACGACCACATTCCCGGATCGCCCTTCCACGTCACTGTTTAATACAGGACTTATGAGGAATTATTACTATCATTTCACAAAATATAGGAAAATAGCTTATAACAGTGAATTATAAAATTTTCTTATATAATTACATATTTAATGAAAATGACATTAACCATAAAAGTGGTTACAAAATACTGTAGTTGTTAATCACTTATTTTTTATTTATTCATCGCGAAATATTTTGTAGTTAAATTATCTCGGAACTGATGTTGCTGGTATTTAAATTATTTATATAACTAAATTATTATTTCACAAAGATAGATGCTTTAGATAACTATAGTCCTATTTCATTCACTGGAATCTTCATTCTTTTTATTTTGAATTGCAACTTGCAACAAGAAGAAATGTACGAGAGCGTCATACCCACGACATGATTGAGGTACATGGCCTTGCAACATATCAACAACTACACGCATCACAGTGTGCTTATACCCTTGACATGGTTTGGGTATGTGCAGCCTCCATAGTCATTCACAGTCATGCAGTTAAAGTTCATCAATCCTAATATAATGTTTTGTCCCGAGTATATAGGGTGCTCGTGTTACGTTAAGGCTTCGGCTTATACTCTTGCGTATGCTCACCAGTAGTTATGCCTAACCATTGGAGAAGTTTATTGTTGTTCCTCTTGACTTGTTGACACTGAAATACTATGTAGTTTATTTTATCTAAATTATTTTAGGTACTTAAATTTATTTGCTTTTATTTGCTGTGCTACTAAAGGATGGGATATGAAGAACATTTATGATGATTATTCATTGAGTTTAATGTTTTTTATTTAAATATGAGAATGGGGAATAAATTAAATCACACTCTTCATATTTTGTAAAAAAAAAAAAAAAATATTTACTTATGTTACCTTCAAGTTTTATTTTGGAAGGTTCACCCTGAGTCACTGGGACTGCAGGTCCTTTACTACTTAAACAAAAAATAATAGTAACTTTTAGGTAAAGATTTTGACTCATTAAGGACTTGCATTCTTAGTGGCATTCTGAAAAGAAGTGCCAATTCCACCTGTTACTGCAGTTTTGCTGTTCCTTATGTTGCAGGAACCTTGGGGTCAAGTATTTGTCTTAAGCCAACCAGTTCTGTAAGCTTGGTATACACACAACATAGGCTCATAGCCCACATTTTTTTTTAATATTTTCTGAAAAGAAATAAATGCTTAAATGGGTTATTCTAGTGTTTTATTTACAAAAAGTTTTGTCAATCTTGAAATTTGTCTTTGTCGGATGCTTAACAAATAGAACAAGAAATCCTTCACAAATGACATTTTCATTCCACTACTCATTCACTCCATCTCAATCCATACTTATGTATAATTGATCAAATCTGACGTATTTACTATAATTAATCCATAACTTGATGACCAAACCACACGTCAGAAAATGAAACTCGACGGACCGAAATGTCATCGCTTCTTCATGCAGGTCGGCGTTCAATCCCCAACCATCCAAGTGGTTGGGCACCATTCCTTTTCCCTGGCCCATCCCAAATCCTAATCCCGACCCCTTCCCAGTGCTATATAGTCATAATGCTTGACACTTTCCGCTGATAATTCCCTCTTCATTTTCCATGTGGCTTGGTCATGTCTCCAGCCTCGTTAGTGGAACTCATATTGCCTGCATGGAGCCCATAACTTGTTATTTACAATATGTATAATAATAAAGTATATATTATCTTGGAAGTCACCGGCCTCTAAGATCTCCCATCCTCGTGGAGAGAAATCCTATTAGATTTATCAAGGAGGTCTTCCCTTAGGCCAGTTGCTGACCTTCCTCTACACCCACAACAATTGGGTGTAAATGTACCTATTTACACCTAGGTGAACAGAGGCATTTGGTGCAAGTAAATGTGGTCATATGTCTCACCCCTTCACCCACGGATCATGCCTAGGCCCAATTAGTCATGAGTCAGCTGCACTAACAGGTGAGGACAAACCCATTCTTAACTCATGCATAGGTTAACATTCCTTAAAATGAATTACTAAAATTGCAAATGAATTTGGAATGCATCAGATATATATATATATATTTACTGAAAGAGACAACAGCAGTATTTCCCAGCATGTGGCAGATCATTTCATTGCAAATTATTATCCTTCCCTTTCCACCCAAGAGGATTATTAAATATCAGCCAATGCTTCAACTTGAAGCAAAGTGTAATACTCAAAACCACACGAGTGCTGCTGGAAGGAATTAAGAGTTGTCAAGACAACGAGAGATGGCTCATATTCCGAGTGGAATGGTGTCAGTTATGATATGTTATATTTGCTTCCATTAGCTCCAGGATATTCTCTACTTGAACTGTATAATATCTATATATATAAAAGAGAATGTCCAAGATTGAAAGACAGTTGCTTTGCACTAGCCTCACTCAACTTTTCAAAATGAATCGTGGGGGTTTGGGAGTGTCATAGGCTCAATCATGGTTGTCCCTAGTGCCCCACCCCCTCTCTCTCCATCTTTAAGAAATATCAAGATCTACGGTGAACCTCCCCCTTCCTGTGATTTTCATGAAATCAAGTTCAAGTTTGTGATATAGTTTCTGTAGAGCTGAACAGTTTTTTCATTGCTTTGTAATATATAGATTATGGAGGGAAAAGGAAGGAGAGAGTGGGGAAGGGGAGAAAGATGTAAATGATGAAAGGGAAGGGAGAGGTGAGAGAGGAGAGATTGGGAGATGTTAGGGTAGAAAGGGGGTGAGAGGATAAGCTTGAACATAGCCGAATACCCTACCTAATGAGCTACAGTATGTACTGTAACTGGGGAACTCCCTAGCTCGTGGTACAATAATATCTTCATTCCAATTCCCTAACTTTATCAAGAGAATGTTTTATATACAATTTCTCTTACTGTTTACCTTTGCAAGACAGTAGAGAGGATGGTCCTAAACCAAAACAATTTAAAACCATAGAACATTTTCCCCCTATATGCACGGCTTAATGCATGTAAGGAATGTGCAATCACAGCATTACTACCTTTCTCGCCCTGCACACTTGAAAGTCGTATAACCCCCCCTTTCTAGATCTCAAGTCTGCCTTTGACACTGCAAACCGAGTGAGCTCACCAGAATAGTTGTTGGTTGCTTCTTAACTGGATCAGGGCATACTTATCCAACAGGAAGTCATCTGCATTGTTCCCAGGGCATTGGAGTGTAACAAGAAAATTTAAACTAGTCACCCCATGGAAAAGTGTTTTCAGCCCTACCTTATTTAATATTTTAATAAATGTGCTGTTAAACTTTGTACCTAGTAAACCCAACAAACACATCATTAGTTATGCTGATGATATAATAGTATATAATACTGGGTAAACTAACACTCAAAATTCTCTCAACTCTGTATTAGACTCATATAAGGATCTTTTAGTTATCTTAGCATAGAAAACAAAGATATCAAAGATATAAAATCGGTGCCCAACCAGGCAGGGAGGAAGGTAATGTCATATACAACAGCCACTGCTGTAATCATTTACATTAAATATATATCTAGATAGCATATTGTGTGTTTATTGTCCAAACTTGTCAGGGGCTGGGTGTTTTATCAGTCTGGATCACTGATGTAAAGTCAATAACAGGTTTGGATAATAAACACACAATATGATAATTACACAAATGTTTAATGTAAAGTTTTTGTTTTATGATAAAACAGCATTGTGACAAAGCAATCCATATTGAGTGGATGTTGAGTGCTAATGATGGCAGAGACCAGTCACATTTGAGGGACAGAGGCTGGTAAGGAGTGATGCTGCTACTGGCTGCTATGTAGTGAGAAGCCCAGATGCTGTGGTCAGAAAGCCTTATATTCCCGTCCACCTGACACGGTTTGGACCAACTCTGCTCATTGTTTGATGGGACCCTACTTGATTCTAAAATGTGTTGACACTGTTAATTTGTAGTACGTAGAATTCCTGTGAAATTCTATTTGGCAGTACAGTACATAGAATTGTACTATGTACTGATAAATATGTAGACATCGTTTTATAGTACAGTATCTGGAATTCCTGCAGATGTATAAGTAGCTGCTCTAGAATTTCTAATGTAGTTGCTACAAAGGTAAGGTAATAAGCAGGAAAAAGTGTTAAGCCAATATTATTATACAGCACTTGGAAGGGATATGAGGACGGGATGAAGAAACGGTGCCAAACAACCTAGACCATCAGGGATCCAGTGCTGACCTGCAAGAAGCAAGGAATGTTGCTCTACTGACCAGTCCAAGTAGATGGATTTGTTTGTAAAATGCAACTATATGATGAATCCCAGTTTGACTATATAAACTGATTCAAATACATTGGGCTTGAGGTCCCACTGTATGGCCATGTTGTAACCAAATTCGGTCATCAATATAAAGAGAAGCTCAGCATTCTCAAGATCAATCAGACTGTGGTGCAATTGTCTTAATAGTTAGGATGATGCACTTTGCATATATTAGATCTATGCTGCACCTCTTCTTGCTTTAGTGCCTTAGACTAGCTCATCATAACACTTGCACAAAAGCCCTCCAGACCTTCTTTATTGATAGTCAATAATGTTGAAAATGAATTACTAAAATTGCAACTAAATTTAGAATGTATCAGATACGTAATTGTACCAAAAGTGATAACAATGGCACATATAATTAATAATTGCACCTTTAGGAGATTACAGGCCTTAAGGCCAAATTGATACAGTACTCTGCTTTCAGAACATTTCCTCTCTCAAAGCATAAACTGTACTGTACACTGATAGTACCCTACACCCTTAAACTTTACATTTGTGGAACTAGAAGTGCAGTTGTCTTGATAATGACAGATGGTTCGTGTTTTGAGTAAGGCGGTACATCACCTTGCAGTACATATTTACTCTAGAATTCAGTGAACTGTCAACTGTTGAGGGGTTGCATTCTGGGAAGGGTCAGTAGTTCAACCTTGGGGGCAACATCAATATAAGCCTATATGTACATATATACACAGACTGCCTTTCTCCCAAGAATGCAAATTATTATTATTATTTTATTAATTACCTGTATTATTAAAAATCTCCACAAATTTTGCGTTAGCTTTAAGACTTGCACAAATCAACACAATGGGTGTTAGTGGTTTTGTAAGAATATGCCCGATAAATCATAAAAATCTATACGTATACACATCATTGTTGATTCTCGTAGATATATATAAATAAGTATATAAATCAAAATAGATCATGAAAAATACACCAACAAGTACACTTGGGTCATGAACATAGTCGGACTAAAGTCGAAGTTGTAAGAAGAAGAAGAGAAAAAAAATAGCTCAGTGTATATCAGTGTATATATTCCACAGGATGGGTTGGGGGTGCATAAAAAGAGAGTCGAATTAAAAAAAATTATTAAGGGGTGGTGGGCACCCCGGGGCCGTCACACACCAGTACGGTCCCGGACGTGGTCGAGAGAGGGTGTTGCTGCTCTTGATTTTCGATAGCCTTCAACGTAAGTATATGTATTTTTTTCTTGTACGTAGTTTAGGAATATGTGAAAACCATAGTAATATTATTATAAAACAAGTGATTGTCTCTTGTAGTGAGATACAGAGGTAAATATATACTTTTACACCTCATTTAACTTGACGACAATGTCCTCAAACTTTTTGAGTAATGAAGCAGCCTTAGAACAGGTGTTTGATGGCCTCGCAACACCTGTGTCCTTCACTGTTATATTGGCCTAGTGCTTCTCAACCTTGTTTGTATTATAAGTTGTTGAGGTAATATTTAATGGAAGGTGGACAGCGCCGCCATTATTGGTGGCGGCCATGTTTGATGTGGCAATATTCCCTGGCGGAGTCTTGGCGCTCACATCTCTCAACATTGAGGAGTTTCTTCCAGGCATTGTGCCCTGCCACTTGGGCTGGACGGTAGAGCAACGGTAGAGCGTCATGCAGGTCGGCGTTCACTCCCCGACCGTCCAAGTGGTTGGGCACCATTCCTTCCCGCCGTCCCATCCCAAATCCTTATCCTGACCCCTTCCCAGTGCTATATAGTCGTAGTGGCTTGGCGCTCTCCCCTCATTGTTCCCTTCCCTTCCAGGCATCACAAAATATGATAACACCGAATATTTGGCAAATGTTGAAGTTTTGTTTGAATTAAAACAAAATATATGAAGGTGAAGAAGTGACTTATGACAGCTACGCCAGGTGTCTGATCTGTTGACATTGATGAGCTGAC